TGAACACACAAAGTTCTATAAAATTTATGAATTATTATGGAATAGTAGTGGAAATAATAATATGTCGACAAAGAAATATACCATTACCGCCATCTTCTGTCAACATTCATTGATATACATGCCAAGTAACCAAAGTATTATACAATCCTGTCTCACAGAAGATTCACAATTAAAGCTATTAATCGTGCCATAGTTAGAACTGTGGCCTTCAAATAATGACATTTATATTTGTGAAAAGCTTTAACATTGGTCTCTGTAAACCGTTCTGAATATATACATACATTCTAACATTCTTTGATACAACATCAGCAAATGAGATGTAAAAACACGAAAGACTCAAATTGTACTCGACCTTTTGGATTTTCATTGCCTCGGATAGCTGTGATTCTGCTCTTAACAGCAAATAATTAAACGAATATCAAAGCTAAAGTTTTAAATATGACTACCCCAAATTAACTACTGCCTTAGTATATTTCAATTTTTAATTTTACCTTTGCCCTGGTCAATTCATTTCATGTAATGAAGTGTTAGATGTTTTAGAATAATGACACAATTGGCTATTTCAGAAAAACACAGAAGACCGCTGACTAAAGTATCAGTAACATCTATTTGGCCACTCAACAACCGTTCATGTGGTTATGAAGCAACAAAAGTTGTTAAACCCGACAGCACCCCTGGTTCATGCAGTAGCTGGATTTCCCTATCAACTTCAATGGTTGGTTTGGAGGAGCCATCAGTGGCAACTTTAAAATCCACAGATTACATCAACACTACAATTAGTGATAATTGGTCGTTTGATCGATTTAGTATTGCAATGTTTGTTCAAGTATCAAAAGTAACTGATAAGCCTGATAAACCAATTATACATGTTCGTTTTCCTTATGGTTACTTTGAAAGTCTAACAGTTAAAATTGATAAGAACAATATAATAATACTATTGTCAACTGAAGAGACAATTTCTCAAAATATTGGTAACATGGCAACTTGGCACTTCATTGCTGTCCAATATAATCATGACTGGGAGGAACTATCTCTAATTATTGATGATAGGTTTTATAAAACGGATTTTCCTACAAATAATTCAACTTCCTATACGACATCTGATGTTAAACTAGACATTGGTGGTTTTGAAGGAAACATTGCTTGCGTGACCATATTTAATACACCATTGAGTGAAAACACAGCATCTGATCTGTTAAAACAAGAATGTAATAGGAAAAGGAGCTTCACTGCACCTGGTATGTAATTTGTAATTGATTTATAATTACTTGTGATGATTAAAGCGACACATTAAGTGTTGTGTTAAGATAATCACAGATCAGCGGGGTAGCGAGGATTTCGTTGACAGGGGGAGGGGTGGGTGCATCCTGGCGCCCTGACTTACCTTTGCAGATTTTGGAGGACCCTAGTTATGGTGGGGAGGTCAGAGGGCTCTGCCTTGAAATTCTCTAATGTGGGAGGCCTGAGAATATATTCAAACACGATTTTCTAAGTGAAAATAGAAAAAGTATGGCGCAAACAAACATACTACTTAAATACGCCACTGACACAGATCTTCAGGTTAATATGTGTAACACTTTTTTTGTTGAACAATTGACAAAAGATATTCTTAATTTCATTACAAAGGTGCGAGTGAATTGTTCGAAATTACCACTAATTTTTATATTTTCTATTCTTTAGCTGAAGATGCTCCCGAGCCTGTGAAATTGTGGCCACTCAGTAAAAATACTATGGGTTTTGAAATGATCTCGCAACAACAACTGTCCACTACTCCTAAAAAATTATGCTGGCGATTCAACCATAATGAACCTACAGATTTAATAGATTCTGAAGCTGTACAGTTTTATGGAGCTGATCAATTTTCTTTACAAATCGACTCAATCATTAGATCTGATATATTTGTTGTTGGTGTGTTTGTTGAGACCCATGAAACTTCAGGAACTATTCTGAAAATAAATGTTGGCTCT